TTTTCTCTCTGTCGTTTTCGGCGAGAAGTATCTGGTGGAAACCAGACTTCAAATCCAATGTGGTAAAGTGTTTCGCCCTCCCTAAATTTGCCAGGATAAAAACAACATTCGGGATAGGGTATTTGTCGTCTATTGTATTTAAGTTAAGTTTTCGGAAGTCTATTACTAGGCGTTTTTTTGTGTTTCCCTGCTCATCGGTCCTTTTTTATCTACAACCCAAACAGGGTTGTTATACGGAGACCGAGATGGTCGGATTATGCCGTCTCGTAACATGGCTTTTGTTTCTTTATTTACAAAGTCGGACACACCCATCGGGTATGGGTACAATTTTGAATATATTGGGTCTTCGTTCTCTGTCCGGATAGTACCAATGATATTAGTATTGTAAGGCAGCGCCTCGTTCGGCTCTGCGAATACTCCTGTGCGATTTCCCAACATGTCCTGGAATTTTTCTGAAATTTCCTGGGGTACCTCAATATCCTCAACCTTTGTAAAATTAACATTTGCACATTTTAAAAATTTAATTTCTTCTGCACTGCTATTAGTTATTAATTTCTTGTCTTTTAGGTCGAGTACGACATCAGTTTTTTTTAGTAAGTCTAGTCCGATTATTCCGTCAAAGGTCGTTAAGTTCGGTAGTAAGAAAAATGTTGTAGTTGTGTTAAAAAGGTGCATCATACATTTTTTATTTATGGTGTTGTGACCATGGATTGATTTTACAGAAAAAGGTTTATTGACGTAAATAATGTTTTTTAATTCTTTCATAGGCTTGATATAATTTTTGGAAGCCCCTGTGTCTATCAAAAGTTTGATTTTCCTCCCTGCGATATCCCTTTCTATGAATGGGAGCAGGGAGTTATGCCTAAAAAATTTATTTCGTCATATTCTACAAGGTCATCGTCTACATCTTCTTCCTCTGCTACTGTAGGGTATTCGTCATTGTTTTCGTTCGATAAATCGTTGTCTAACGCTAAATGGTTTATTCTTTGATGTTTCGGTCCTGTGTACCTAGCGCTACTATTTTTAGGCTTTTTACTTGCCAGTCCCTGGTTATTGTAAGCGTTCGCTTGGAAATTTTGTGGACTTGTCTGCCATTGACTGTTTTGGGGCTGTCTTTGAAACGGACCACTTTGTTGGTTTTGAGTTGGCTGTCTAAAGCGAGATGAGCTATCGACGTCCATTGGCTGTACCGGATCTTGTCTAAGTGGCTGTCTTGGCCTTTTATTAAAATGGGGGTTTTTACCCTCCGGGTGGAATCTAGATTCTGTTACCGGATTTCTTTCTCTGGCCAGTTGTCTCTGTTCGGAACTTTGGAGTTTTTCCTCCGTGCTACGGGTAAAATTACTTGCGAACATATATCGCTCATGGTTAGCCTCTACTTCCTGTGCTAGCGCTAGAGCGGAAGGAAGATCAGATGGTCTTGCTGAAAAAAGAACATCGCTTAGCGATTTTCTTGTTCCAGAAATAAAAACGCGTAGCGCATCCGCTCTGTATTTTTCGTTCAGTGGAGCAGCTACGGTGTTGTCATAATTGTCTTATTTATAAGCAGAGTCAGTTTTTTCTCTACTTCGTCATAGTACTGTAAGAGTGTCATGTTTCCTTGGCGGAGCGTTGACATCTCCTGTTCTATTAAATATAGCGGCCGCTTGTCCGCGTATGTGAAGTCTAGTCAATTTATTATGGCCCTAAAGTTCAGAGGTGTGTCGAACGACGAAAGAACCATATCGGCTGAATTTTTTATTTTATTTCTTAGTATCCCTAAAGCTTGGTAATGTTTGGAACTACCATCGTATTTTTCGTACACTTTATATGCGGTGTGCGCCGCTTTTCTCCATGAGACGTACGTCTCATTTTTACCCTCGAAGTCCGGCAGGGACTTCATAATATCTAAGGTCTCATTACATGTAATACCTATTCTGATATCTGCATCTCTGTATGTTTCAACTTCTGGTGTACCGATATTAACACCACCTAGGCGCTTCTGAACGTCCTGTAATTTTTGTTCGAAATTTTTTTCCTGTGCGGCGAGTGCGCTTGCAACCGCGCCCTCCATTATGGCCTTTAATTGGTCGTTGGTCATTGCCATATTTAAGTTGTTTTGGTCTACTTGAAAATTATCCGCGCTTTTTAGCTTTCGGAATTTTTTTAACTATTCTTCTATCTCACTATCACTCATATGTTTTAACACAAAGAACAACAAACAAAGAATTTTGTTCCCACTGTATTTAATTTCTTTGTCGGAAAAATAAAATTTTGAAAAATTATTTCCCGAGCTTGTGCCTTTTTTATTTTTTAGACTCTTGAAATATTTTTATTTATTTTGTTATTTTATAATTGTCAAAATTAGTTTTTGGAAAATATTCTGATTTTAAAAAAAATTCGGGGAAAAATATCAATGAACACTCCACTTACATGGTTTTTATTTAATTGTAGAAAAATTAAATTGCTGCTGATGCTCCTGTTATCTTCCTTCTTTTAATTGCTGCTGCCGGTTTGACGGAGTTGGCGAATTGGTTTTTAAAATGTCTTTATTTTTAACTGTTCGAGGGTCTTACGAACTCGTTTTTTTTATTTTTTATTTTAACGGATCGAGGGTCTTACGAACGCGTTTTTTATTTTATTTTTTATTTTAACGGATCGAGGGTCTTACGAACGCGTTGGGTGCCAATTAATTATTTCCTTATTCAGGTTTTTACTTAGGACGCGCGGTACTGCGCGAATGAGAAGACTTAGGTTTCGGGAGACGATGACCGTCACGATTTATTTCCAAAATTCAACTAAATACTAAGTACATAAATTCTTATAATGAAAGCTAGCCCTATGCCCTGAAAGTGCTGACCCGGCGCCCCGTGTGTGGTGTTGGGTAGCCGTCGGTTGCGTCGCAGTGCATTGCCCGCTGATAGCGCTGACCGAAGCTTGGGCTTCTGCTACCGTCGTTGTGCAATATCCGCAGGTGTCGCTGGCTTTGCATTATTCTCATGCCGGCTACGCGTGATCAGTTTGGCAACTTCTCTGTTGCCGGGTGACCGTGTTAACTTATATAACTAAAAATGAAGTGGTGTCAGATAAATCGGACTTGGACTTTTACAAAGTCTTACAGAAAGTTCGACGAAATGAGGTTCGAAAAACTAACTGTGTTACCAGCATATGTGTAACTTTCCTTTTGTGGTTAAAAACTACCATATAAAGGTGTATCAGCTTAATACGGTGACCTACAGTGTCTGAGCAGCTCCTTGCCATTCATAGTTTGTTTCATATGGCCAATTTAAACGAACCAAAATGTCATCTCGCATCCGCAGTATTACGAACTGATCTATCAGATGAAGTCTCAAAACTGCTAAGAAAGGCTGGGTGGACGATGACCAAATTCATCAGCAATTCATCCATATTAGGCAATTCATCAGACGACAAGGTTTCAATGCAGCTGGAGGAATTGATGTCAACGAATATGCTTGGACTAGGATGGCATCCATCTGAGGATATATTTGTAGACGGACTGTCCTATCTGAAGTCTCACGAATATTCTACTCGCTTGGACTTATCACATTCAGGATCTAGTTATCCGAAAACTATCTTGGGGTGAACCAATTCCAAACGATTTCGGTATTGTATGGGACAACTTGAAAAATTACTTGCTTAACCTACCTACAGTGAAGCTTCCACGTTTTTTTATCAACTTCTCAAAAAGACCAGAGCAAACTTCACGGGTTTGCCGACTCCTGCAAACGTAGATACGACTGTTGTCTTTACCTTCGCAGCATAATCAATGGCGTCGTAAAGCTCAGCTTACTGGTTGCAAAACCAACAGTCGCTACGATTTAATCCTTGCCGATAGCAAAGCTTGAGATCAGTGCCGTGCTGCTTAACAACTGGTATCAAAAGTTCAAGCACATACTCGAGCCTTACATCTCCCAGATTCCCTGGGAGTGTTCCTTGGGAGCCACCTCCTTCACAGTGTGCGCGAGCACCTTCTTCACACATTGGACCATTCTTTCTAAAGTGCCTACTGCAGCTGGGTTCGCGGGACAGTTAAAGATCCATTCGATTTCTTTGACGGACAGCTCTTCCTAGCTTCACGATCGGCTCCGATAAAGTTGTTTTCGTGGTCGCTTCTTATAGCGATGATGCAGGAATCTGTTGACATGGGCCATCTGCAGGTGGTTAGACAGGTAAAAAGAGCGACCCACCTCTTCTCGGTTCCACGTCCAATCGTCCCGTACAGCGGCCTAAAGTAATTCGCTGTAACACTTCGTAAAACTTTCTTTAAATTGGTTAAGAAACTATCCACCTAGAAACTATTCACGTAGTCGTCCTCATGGTGGTACTTATTAAAAGCCTGCACCGCGCGAGGATGTGCTTGGGCGTATCTTGAAACGTTTATGGTCTTCACCCTCACAAGAAAACTCCTGGAATCGACTTTTACGGGTTTCTTGATTTTTTCCCTCCATTTTTTAAAATGTTCAGTGAGAAGCGCACGCCAAAAGATTAAATTTTTTATTATTTTTGCTAGGGTTCACCCAAAGTTCATTTCCGCAGACTGGCAACGCTATGCAATTTTCTGGTATTTTTTCGTCGATCTGAGGACCGAGGTGAAAAAAAAACGTTGACGAAAAGTGAACACAAGCTGTTTGCCTCTCTCTCTCAGTAGTAGTAGGTTAAGCTTTTAGGAACTTCGATTTTATGAGCGACCTCCATAGGTACTTTTTGGTAAAGTGTCAAAGAATCAAATCAAGTCTACATTAAAGCAAAGGCAACAATGCGTATGAAAAATTTAATTTAAAGGTATTTCGCAAAAACAATTTTTTTTTGTAAAATGTTATATATTTTTTCAAAAAAGTTCTCAAAAAGTCAATAAAATAAGTCAATAAAATAAGTCAACAATAAATGTACATACATCTGTGTTTGATCCCGCCCCCCGTAATGATCCTTGTTGTTGTTAATGTGTAATAAATCCACCAGAAACTTGGTCAAACTAATCCCAATATTATTTCTTTTCACAGAAACAGACATAGCTAGTCGACAGCAATTGGAAGTCCAATCGTCGGCCGAGCAGCAGCGGCTACGCCGTCGCAGCGAGGGCGACGCCCCTCAACAGAAAAAGCAGCCTCACAAAGGCCAGCCCCAATCGCATTCACAGTCCAATTCGCAGTCATTTGTGGCAGGATCAAGTGGCCAGCCAAATGTCATTCGGGGAAGCCGGCGGGTCTCGTTAGGCGACTCCGCGTCCACAAATACACATCAGGACTTGGAAAGCGGGACTCAGATCAACGGGGAGCTGAGAGCGGGATCGGAACAACAAATCCGTTGCCGGAACACAAAGTGCGACAAAATTGCCTCTGCAATCGATGCAAAGAAGGTCTTCAAGTCCTGCCACAATTGTTCCCATCTATACTGTTCTCGTGAATGTCGGAGAGCCCACTGGGAAAAACATCGCAAGGCGTGCCTGCACTCGCGCGCCTCTAACCTGTGTCGCCAGGTGCTAGCTACTTGCAAGGACGACGTCGATTCGCAACGCCATCTTAGCCTGTTGGCGCGCAAAGGAAGCCTTTCACAGGGGCGTGGCGTGGTCCGGGTGCTTTTTCGTAGTGCCGAGGCTGCAGAGGGCTTTATTAAAAACGGGTTCCAGTGCATTGGGGAGGCCACGTACGTGCGCTGGCCAGACCTTATGCCCGCCGAAATGGGCCTAGAGCTGTACTCTGAACTCCTTAAGCTAAGCACAGAGTACAAACCGAAGACCAAGATGCTCATTTACGTGGCCATTTGCGTGGTGTCCGAGGCACCAGGCATGGGACAGACGCCTGTGCGCTGGGAGCGCCAACTGGTCAGCCGTTGCGCCAAACTGAAGCTCTGCAAGACGATGCTGGCTGAGCTGGAGCAACAGCAGACTTCGCTCATGCATCCGCTTTCGGGAGTGGACAACCCGGAGCGTACCGAGATCCTCATCCTCACTTTTAACTGCGGACAGCGCTCAGTGCAAGGGAATCGAGAGCTGATCCTCTCCAACATTCTAGAAATCCTATCTAGGCGCGGAGTCACGTTACGAAAACACTATCCCGAGATATTTCACCGCCTGCAGACCTACACCGAGGGCCAAAGCGACAAATTTAACCCGGTGACTCTGCATCCACGGGATACACAGACCGGACAAGGCTTCGTATGCATCATCATGCCTGTGCACTTGGACAGCGAGTTCATCAAGCTTCCTTCAGCGGCAGACGGTGGCAATCGAGTGACTACAATAGACGTGGGATCTCCCGCGGCTCTCGCCCACCTAGATGACGATGACCTGCTCAAGCCCACATCCAAGGAGAGCTGATTAAGGGACGACGACAACATCTGCAGCAGCAGCAAAGGACGTCAAAGCGGAAGGAGTGGCAGCATCTCTACGCACTCCTCAATTCACAGCATCGCCTTGGGATTTAGCATGGAAAGCACCCGCATGTGAGGCATCTTCTAAACCCAGTTATTTAGCTGATCTTTCGCATTAGGCAACATTCTAATTTTTATTAAATTTTTAATTTGTAAAATGTTGCAATTTAGACTTAAACATATGAGTTTAATTAAAAATTATTTAATTTAAAATTAACTTACAAATAATTAATTTGTTAACGGCAAAAATTGCCATAATATATTGCAGTGCACTACCCAAAATTTAATTACTTTGCATTATGAATACTTTTTGGGGTAACTACACTATAAATGTCTTTTAAAAGTGTTTTATAAAACACTTTCTAAAATGGAAATGCTGGAAATAGATTTAAGATATTTGGTGTTTTAATAAACAAATATTGAATATTCGATGCCGTTAAAATTGCACAATTTTGTAGCGATCTTATTGGGAAAAATAACATTGTTTCACATCTACCTAAGAAAATACAATTAAAAATGTATTGGCTTTCAATATATGTAGGCAGGCTGAGTGAGAACCGAAGAATGTCTTCTTACTGGCAACGTTTTTTCGAAAGATAAAATGTATTTTCTTAAAAATGGTCACACTTTTTTGTAAGTCTTAGGTAGATGTGAAACGATCTTCTTTTGCCCAATAAGATCGCTACAAAATTGTGCAGATTTCGAGATCGTTCAAAAATGAACAAATGTTTAATACAAAACTTATGATGCAGTTTTGTAGCAATATATATATTTTGTTTAAGTATATATATCTTTGTTTTGTAGCTATGATAACAGGTGATATTTTAATCGGTGGCCCGGCAGACTAATGGATTCTCGGCTGTGACAGACACACATCTTGATGAACTTATGACCGGCTATGACCAGACCTGATTTGTCCAAAAATGGAGCACCCGCTACCCTTTCTATTCTTTCTTTCTTGGAGGGTAGTTTATTTCTATTTTGAACTACACTTTCAAATTTTGATAAGTCATTTCCGACGGAATTGGGGGAGTTAGAGGCTGGTGTCCATTGACGATCGCCATCAGATTTGACCCCTTGCGGGCAACCTGGAGGTCGCAGTTTTGATCTGAAATCATTAATTTTTTGTTCCTTTGACAGTAACATATTTTCTAAGAATATGACCGAAATAGTTCAAAATTTAATGTTTCGGAGGTATTTAAATTTTTGTATTGCTTTTTGTTTTTTTGTTTTTTTTTTTAATGCACAACATCTTGAGAATATTGTGTTAAAATTTTAGATCGATCCGAGTAAAACTTGGGAACTTGTGGGCAGTTGAACGTAGGTAAGTAAGCGCGTTATATATAATATATATTCAGTTTTTGGGTGTCCCAAACTTTCATCATGTTAAATTTAAACCCCGAAAAGAGCTGACGTGCTTTGCGCGAGCTCCGGAAAAATTTGAAGAAAGTGGATTATTAAAGAAAAATCAAATTTAAAAAACTAAATTGGTGTATTACAAAATAGGCGAAAAGACGCTAAAACAAAAAAAAAAAAAATTAGTGATATGATTAAATCAAGTGCAAATTATTTTATAATAGTGCCACGCTAAAAGTTTAATGACCGACGAACTCGGTGTGCCGAAGAGACGGGTACTTCTCGTATATCTCTACGCGCGATAGCGAGTGCAAAAAAGTCTACAAAGACCCATCGGCTCTACTGACAGTCGATACCCAAAGAGCACGATCGTTGTCACCCTCTTTATTCACTGTTACTCCCACTCCAACGGCGTGGAGTTCTCTATGTAAACAACAATTACAGCAACAAAACCAATAACTTCTACAGCAACGGCTCTTACCGCGGAATCGACTGCGATGTCGTCGACTGCAGGCCAAATATACCGTCAACTATAATTATGACAAAACAGACCGGCATGGATGGTTTCATCCAAATTAAGCGTAAGCTTAGCCCGCAGAACACCGCGCTGGGTTATAACGTAAAAATATACCGAGTCCAAAGAGACAACGAATTACCCGGGAGATCCAACAGATTTGCGCTCCTAGCTGAAACTTCTCCAGAACTGGGTAAAGAGACCCAACCGAAATCAAAGACCCCACCAATTTACATTAGGGAGAAAAGCTCGAACGCCCTGGTCAACAAAGTTGTTGCGCTGGTCGGAAACGAAAATTTTCATGTTGTTCCGATCACTAAAGGGAATATTCACGAAACCAAATATTCAGACCAAATCCGAAGAACATTTCCGAGCTGTGTCTAAATACCCGTACCAACTAAAAAGCAGCAAGGGCTTGCAAGTTGTACTAAAAGGGATCGAGCCCGACGTAACCCCCAATGAAGTTATCGATGCCCACAAAGAAAATAGTTTTTTTGCAAAGAACGTTAGTAACATCATTAACAGGAACAAAAAGCCGCAACCACTCTTCAAAGTAGAGCTGAAGCCAGACAGCAGAGTCTTGAAGAAAAATGAAGTGCACCCCATCTATAACATGCAATACACCGAAGAATTAAGGTGGCAGAACCAACAAGGACCCCCAAAAGAAGAAATGTGGAAACTGCGGAGGAAATCAAACGCAAACTACAGGGGCTATATAGTCTATAAGGAGTTGAAAGACCGCATGCGACGAGTGACAACAACGCGCCACCAAAACACTCAAAAACGACGCCGGAAATATTTTTCAGGACGGGTGCAAGATCCTCATTTGGTCAGCTAAATACACAGAAGGGATTCTCATACGCCGATGCCCTTCGAACAGGAACGGAAATCCCACTCCAGTCTTATCTAGGAAACGTTCAGCAGGTCCCAGGACAGTCACAAAGCTCACTGGAAGCTATGATGGTTACTATGCAACAAAGTATGATGGAATTCATGTCCTTCATGAAAACGACCATGCAAACACTGGTTCAAAACCAGAACATGGTGTTACAGTTGCTTGGAACAAAGCAGTCCAAATAATTGATGGCAAATCTACAAATAACACAGTTCCTGAATGAAAATCATATCGACATTATGGTACTGATAGAAACGCACCTACAAATACAAATTTTTAAATAAGAGACTACACTTTCCACCGCTCAGATCATCCAAATGGTAAAGCCCACGGCGGAACCGCATCCTAATCAGGGAATGCATCAAACACCACTTTCACGAAAGGTTTGCAACTAATTACTTGCAGGCCACGTCTATCAAAGTGCAGTCGGATAGCGGACCCCTTTCCATAGCTACTGTCTACTGTCCGCCTCGTTTTATAATTACTGAAGGACAATTCATAGATTTTTACAACTTACTTTATAACAGCAGGAGATTATAATGCCAAACATACCCACTGGGGATCACGACTCGTGACTCCCAAAGGAAGGCAATTATATAATGCAATTATAAAACTGAGCAACAAATTGGACTATGTTTCCCCAGGTAGCCTCACATACTGGCCAGTAGATCCCAGAAAGGTCCCAGACTTAATACATTTTGCGGTGACAAAAAACATTCCACGCAATATAATAAGCTCCAGAGCGCTTTCGTACCTTTCATCTGACCATTCACCAGTACTAAAAACTCTTCTTCAAAGCCAAGAAACTACAGATCACCCCCAGAGACTGACAACGCACAAAACAAATTGGTTAAAATATAAAATGTATGTAAGTTCCCACATCGAACTTACCCCGCAGCTCAACATCGAAGCATACATCGACTGCTCCACCGATGGTCTTGAAAATGTACTCGTGGCAGCAGCCACATCTTTAAAACAACGTCTTAAGGAAGAAACTTGCACACTAAACCGAGTGCTGAAGAAAGACGCTGCGGTACATCGGAAAACTTTCGCCAACCAGTACAAAACATCCTCTGTGGAGGGCTCACCCAAATGCACAACATCCTGAGACATTCAATGGGATCATACGTCTCGGCTACTATTCGAGCAAATAGAATCATAATGATACCCGGAAAAGACCACACAATTGTTTCATCCTACAGACCAATAAGCTTACTATCGTGTCTGTCTAAATTGTTCAAAAAATACCTTCTTACACGGAGTCTGGAGTCTTGCAATGAAGCGCACTTGGGCCTACTCAGTTCGTCCTATATACAGCGGATATTCCTACAAACAAACAGCTAACAACATATACGTTCGCTGACGACACTGCAATCCTAAGTCGTTCGAGGAGCCCAAGCCAAGCAACAACACAACTAGCCAGTCACCTCATCGTAGTTGAAAGGGTGCTATTAAAATAAATAACCAAAAAGGTAAACACATAACGTTTACTCTCAACAGGCAAACATGCCCTCTACTGTCATTGAATAGTACTCCGATTCCCCAAGTCAACGAAGTAACGTATCTCGGCGTCCACCTCGACAGACGACTAACCTGGAGAAGACACATCGAATGTAAGAAACTACATCTAAAACTAAAAGCCAGCAGCTTCCACTGGATATTAAACTTTCGATCGCCCCTGCGTCTGGACTACAAGGTCCTGCTCTACAACTCTATTCTCAAGCCTATCTGGACATATGGCTCCCAGCTATGGGGGAACGCGAGCAGCAGCAACATTGACATCATACAGTGCGCACAATCGAAAATCCTGAGGACTATCACTGGGGCACCGTGGTATATTCGCAACCAAAACATCGACAGAGACCTCGGTATTCTTGCAGTAAAACATGAAATTGACAAACAAAAGACAACCTACAAATAAAAAGGCTCCGTGCACCAAAATCATCTCGCAAGAGGCTTGTCTCGGGTTTCCAGCAGAACCTGCCTTCAACGCAACGACCTTTCAACCCAGAAATAATTCTCAGGGCCGCATTACTCAGTACCAGTCATATGACTGTTAGTTAGATTACTATATGATTTTATACACTTATATAAAGGAGAATTTTCAATAAATAAATAGCAAAGCAATTAAAAAAAAAGAATCAAAAAACTTTAAAACGTTATCCTGAAAAGTTGACAGTCGGTGTACACGATCCTGCAAAATCTATCGGACGGATCTCTACTAAATTCCTCAGGTAACGCTGTCGAGTTTTTTTTTAAATTAATTATTTTTAGAGCAACAAATATCTCGACGTTTTGGGCGAAATTCGGTGTTTTTCTACCCGTTACTCGTAAAGTAAAGTATTATTCGTGCAAAAAGTATGTAACAGGTAGAAGGAAGCGTTTCCGACCTTATAAAGTATATACATATATTCTAGTTCAGGATCACTAGCCCAGTCGATCTTGCCATGTCCGTCTGTCTGTCTGTCCGTATGAACGCTGATATCTCGGAAACTATAAAAGCTAGAGGATTGGCATTTTGC